TCCCTAATTATGTCATATTAAAAGTAGTATTAAAAGTGTCTCAATTTGTACCCAGGATTTTGTCTCACTCAGGTAAAGCAACGTGACAAGTATGGAGACAACTGCTTTTTTTTTTTTTTTTTTTTTTTGAGAGATTTTCACTGTAGGACGCGTGTGCTCGCCAGACAGACAGAGAGAGACATAGAGACAGAAAGCGAGAAATCACCCCCCAGGGGGGATGGTCACGCCACAATCCCTTCTCCTCCATTCTCCTCTCGGGATCTTGGGCACGCACGCACACGCGCCTGGCGTGAGTTTTAAGCCACCGGGTCCGGGACACGAACCGCGGTCGACTACGTGGGAGTCCAGCGACATAGCCATTACGCTAACTGCTGGTTCCCAAGACAACTGCTTTTGAAAGAAGGGTTCATTACAACTGACCATCAAATGAAACAGGTTTGAACTGCACAAGTTCATTCATATGCAGATTTTTCCAATAACCATCAATATATTGGAAATACAGTACAGTATCATAAATGTGCTGTCTCTTCCTTATTTTCTTAGTGAGATTTTTCTTTTCTGTAGTTTACTTTATTGAAAGAACACAGCATATAGTACATATAACACACAATATGTGTCAATACATGTTAACCTACTGTTCGTGTTATCCTTAAGCTTCTGGCCAACAGGAGGCTACTAGTACTTATGTTTTTGGGGAGTCAAAAGTTACGTGTGTGTTTTGACTATTTGGTGTGTCAGTAACCCAAACCCCTCACAGTTTAAGGGTCAAATGTACTTACATTTACCAGGAGAAGAGGACATACAGTACCATGCAGGGCCACCAGAGGAAGCATCAAGTTCAACCAGAAGGCAGAGGGAAATGCACAGACAACAATAACTTATTGTGGTTTCCATGGTTAAAACAAAACAGCAGATTAAACCCTTTAAGACTGGCTAGTTTGAATAATCTCACCAGCTGTCTGATACCTGGCCCTCAGCTGACTTAGAGCAAGGAAACATTGACTTGGTGTGAGAGTTAGGTAAAGGAGATGGTTGGTAGTTGAAGTCAGGGGTGAGACTTAGTTAAAGGAGATGGTTGGTAGTTGAAGTCAGGGGTGGCTGGCTTGCAAATAAAAGGTGTATTAGGAGACACGTGGTTTGTCATCTCTCAGAATTAGCAAGCCCTGGGAGAAGAAGCTCCCCACACCCACACCATCAAGGTTGTTAAGATGTTAAACCATCTTAAAATACAGAAAATTTAAAAAGAAACACACACACATAATTAATAGGCCATGCTTCATGGCAAGTGGGAATGGAATTTTATCATTGACCTTTGTTCCACCATTTATTCTACTATAACCCTTAATAATATTGCCCTTGGGGTATAATATTCTGGGTTTTTTAATCTCTTCTATTCCATTCTTGACAAAGTTCACAATTTCCTTTCCTGCCCTTTCTGAGCCTGCTAATTAAAACAGCCTAAGGATACCCTTATCTCTAATAATAACCCCACATTTGCCTGGAAATACCTTATGTTCTGCCTACTTTTTTATTTGTCACAGACACCTTTCTTGTACAAATGAAACAATATCTAATTATTCATCTATTTGTCAAACATGTTAATTGCATATTGCTGGAATTGGTGTTGAGACAAGCTTTCTGCACTGGGGAGTCAATGACTCGACTATGTGGGCTGATGTTTCTGTAGAACTAGGAATATTTTTAAAGAAATTTTTTGGCTCATTCATCTTCTCTTTTCTTTCCTCTTCTCTTTTCCCTCTCCTCTTTGGTATCTTGCTT